ACATGTGTTTATCCGGCCAAATATTAACCTACATTTGGGTCGATTAATATCCGCATTAATAAACATAAACCATAAAATTTAAGTTCTTTGTAAATTAGTTTTCACAAAAAAGATCATTTTGGCAATATATTGTGTTAATTAATTTACCCTTAAAATAAATAATATGTCATAATTTAATTTATTGGTAACCAAAAATTTAACGACAATATATAGTCTAATTAATGTAACAAAAGATATTGTCAAATTAATCTCTCAAATCATAGTAAGCAAACAATAAGAACCCACACTTTAATTTAAACACCTTAAAACACTTTAAGTCCATAGTAACTGCAACCAAAACTGATTTCATAACTTCTTGCAAATATCATAACCATAAATAACATAATCATACTTTTACATAAGCATAAATCCAATTGCAAATATCATAACCATAGATAACATAATCATACTTTTACATAAGCATAAATTTGATTGCGTTATTTCTTTAAAAATAAAACCTTAGTAGTTTACATAGAACTTAAAACAAAATTAAAGCCGTGTTACTTTCATCCGTTACATAAGCTTCATACATTCATAATTGTAGAAGACATGAATACTTGTTTACTGTGAACTAAAATGCATGGACACCTTTAATTGTTTATAGAATAAAACAATTAAACCTTTAGCAAACCAAGTAAAACATTAACAATTCAACGTCAAAGCATATGCATTCTTTGTCAAAAGAATTAACCTTTAAAATGTAAATAACCAAAATAACAAATCACCATAAAAGATGATTTGAATCAAATCCATGAACCGATTAACATATGCTCAATAAATATAATATATATTTAACATTATTGAAAAAGACAACAAATGCGTATAACAATACAAGAAAACTGCAAAGTGGTTGTACCCTTTAAAAAAAATCATAAATTAGGGTCTTCACCATCATTGTACGCCCATTAACATTCAAAAGAAAACTTCTAGTCCACATACATACACACAAGCAGAATGTTTTGGAAAGAAAAGTTCATGTATATAATAACGATGACGGCAGAAGAAGCTCAAGAAACAGGTATTTTAATTATGATATTTTAAACCAACTAAAAAAAATTCTTTTAACAAATTCGAGTAAGCTCTGATACCAATTGTTGGTAATTTTGATAACCAAAAATTTAAACGCGGAAGCATAAACATTGGATCTTTAATCTCGAATTTGATTAAAAGAAAACTTAAACATGAAAGAACGATTACATACCTGATTTCATTATTATCTTCTGATATGAATAACTAGGGTTGGGTTTTCCAGTTGATCTCAAGAGCTCTCTCTAAAATCCCTCAGCAAACCCTAAACGAATTTCATGTGTATTTCGTGTGTCTTGATTTGCTCCTCATCACATGTATTTATAGATGGATATAAACCCTATTGTGAGAGATGGAAGGGATCTTGAGGATCTTGAGTCAAACCGGGAACTCAATCCACAAGGTAAGTTAATATTTTATAAATCGGTCCATCAACAATTTATATTCTTACCATAATAATTTGATTTAATAATATATTGTACATATTTATGAAGTGGTCCCATAATTATCCATCATATACATACAAATTATAGCAAGATCCCACTAATCGGGAAAATTTGTTTTTCAAGAAAAATATATAGATTTAATGTCTAATAATGAAATATATATAAACATATAAGACCAATTTTATGTTGTGGTTTTAGTTTATATAGAGTATTGTTTAGCAAAATACATGAGACTAATAATTGAAATGTAAGCAAAAATATATTGTTCATGTGTCATATCTTTATTGTCTGGTTTTAAGACTTTTGTTATATAACAAGTTGATATCTTGTAATGAATGCTTGATAATATTATGTCATATCTTGTAATTTGGGGGTTTTCTATTGGCAAATATAGAATAAAAATTTAGGTTTTCTTCCTAAGTGGATATTTCACTCATAAAATTGTATGAAGATTCAGGATTGTTGCTATTAGTCAAGGGATGTTTGTTATGGTTGTTATTTGGATCCAACTCACTTTAGTGCTTTTAATCCATCCTAATTTTACCATATATAAAACAAAAAATTAGTAGAGAACATGTTCTGTCCAACCATTTGCACTCCCGTTTTATAATTTTTTTTACAACATTTCTTCATTCTGATGAAATATTTCTATTTATTATTTTATTGAATACATTAGGGGTGAGCAAAAACCGAACCGACAAAAGAAAAACCGAAAAATCCGTAATAAACCGCAACCAAAAAACCGAAACCGATGCAAAAACCAATTGTGCGGATTTAATTTTTGCAAAAACCAAAAGTCAACGGTGCGGTGTGGTTTTTATCCAAAAAACCGGTCCACCAAAACCGAACCGCACCGCAAACGTGTATACTAATAAATCAATTAATATATATTATATACATGCAATGTAAAATACTTATAAATGATAATATATTTATTATATGTTTACTTTGTGTTTGTGTAAGACTATACGGGGTGCAAAAAAAAATCTATTGTGAGCCAAAAATACTAATCGACATGTGTAATAAGCTTGTAACAAATTAAGTCATAGCCAACCAACCTTCGATTATTAATTAGTTTGTGAGAGTAGTCACATGCTATATTTTAAGCTACTTATAATTTTTTATTATGTATTTTTGTTTTGGACTGGAAATGAATGGTTTCAAAAATGAAAAAAAAAATCACAATACAAGCTTACATGCACATGGTTTTAAGTTCTTACGCTTTTAGAAAACCGCACCAATAAGCATAAAAAGCTGCACCAAAATCTAGACACGGTTTAAAACCGAAACCGCACCGATACAAACCGAAACCGCACCGATACAAACCGAAACCGCATTTAAAAACCGTAAAACCAAACTGTTGCAAAACCGCACCCAACGGTTTTAAGAATGAAAAAACTGCACCATACTGTTTGCGGTTTGGTTTGGCCTTAAAACCACACCAAGCCGCACCATGCTCACCCCTGGAATACATTACAAAAGATTTTTTCTTTAAGTTTTTTGGCGTCAACAAAATAAACTAAAAAACTTCATACCAGTTTGAAATCTATATCATTTTCGTTTAGTTTTTTATACAAACTAATATGATCGTCAACATTATAACAAACTTTCCAACTAATATTCATTCGGGATCCGATCTCAGAGGTCTGATCAAGACGCAAAGTGTAAACCCTAGAAACCTTCAGCCACTGAAAGAAAAGTAGAAAACCAATTGCACCCTAAAAAAATCCAACCCACGACGCTCGAAAGTCGAAATTGAAGCCCACAAGGTGAAGGTACAAGCGCCGAGCTTGAATCCTTGAACCAGAACTCAAAATTAAAGCCACTCAAGAAGAATCAAGGTTGGGTTTTTAACATCTTTCTTTTCTTTAAATGCATATAATGCATCTGATTGCAAATACTCATCTTAAATTTAGCTTTCATCTGATTATTGCAAATAGCCATCTTAAAACAGAAACGACTTCCTTTTCTTTAGTTGATCATAATAATCTTGATTATTGATTGCAAATGGAGTACTGTGTAAGGTAAATGTTTAGTGTCTGATTTGTTTGCAATCTTAATAATTTTCATATGATTCCATCACCATAACCGAATGAAAAGCTAAAAGGCAAATGAGAAATTGTGTATATATAAAGATTTATTTCTCTCAAGAACATAAACCACCGATTCATTTTTTTGATATTTCTTCAGTTGATTAAAGCAATGACACTTGAATACAAAGAAATTTCAGGGCTATAAATTGGATAAAAAATTTAAAAGAATAATGTAAGTAGAATGCTTTAACTGCTTGAAAGTAGGATGTTATAATCTTTTTGAGTTCCTCCCTGAGTACTTGGTCATTGAAGTCAAATTCTATATTTTTTTAACTTACTTAAACATTTGCACTAAATATTTGAATAAAAATATTTGATTGTTTATGAAAACACAGAAAGAGTTTTCTATAGAAATTTGTTAAAATTATGAAATATGAGAATAACCATTAGTAAAATGTTAAAACATATAAGTGATACCCAATATATATATATATATATATATATATATATATATATATATATATATATATATATATATATATATATATATATATTAGGGTTAGCATTAATTTTCTGGTTTTAAAAAAAAAAAAAAACAAATTTCAGAAAAGCCCTCAACATTTTTTCCTGAAAAAGCCTTCACATTTGAAAACTAGCTTTCAGTTGATTGCAAATGACCATTTTAAAACAGAAACAACTTCATTTTCTTTAGTTGCTCCAAATAATCTTGATTGATTGCAAATGGAGTATGCAAGGTGTTGGTTGACTTGACTGCTATTTAGCTCAATCCTGTCAAAAATACAATACAACACAATAAACCTCTGTTCCTAATTTTCTAGGATTTAACTTGAAGAAAATGTTATCATGTTTTATTCATATTATATTATACATATACTGAAACAAGTTACTTTTCTGCATAATCATAATCTTATATATTCTACCTTTAAATTAGATTAAGCTCATAAAAAACAGTCAACTCCACCGGTTGGCTTTGCTTTGTTTTAAACTCAATGAAGCCATATGAGTAAACTCTAACCACCTCCATACCAGATAATAAAACAAGACTAATGTCTAATGTACAACTTAAATTGGGATTTAAATTATTCCTTACTTATTAGAGAGGAGAGGTGGTACTAAAGATAAAGAAAAGGAAAATAATTATGCTATATATGCTTTTGTTTTGTGTGTATATTATTAAACTAAAAAAAGAACAAAACATGAAACCAAATCTAGAATAATCTAAAATTGGGACTTATTCCTTACGTACTATGAGAAACTGGTTTTGAAAAATCTCACTGATTTGATTTCTTCTCTGGAATAACAAATTAAAAAAGCAAACTTACATAAAATAAAAAGGAGTCCCGCTAAGTTTTGTGAAATTGGCACACATATATGTTCTTTCTTTTCTATAAATAAGATCTAACATGATCATTATCATAAAGAGAGACACATAATTATGATGGAGGTAATACATGAAGTACCCGGACATGAGCACCCACTAAAGCTCATTGATTTGCAGCTACAATATGAAGATGAAGAGGATGAAGAAGAAGAAGAAGAAGATGAAGAGGGTGGTTCTCTCATTAAGAAAGATGGATTTCATGGTGTCACATGTGGGAGGTGTGGGGAAGAAATCCATATGTACCACAGGTACTACTACACTTGCTGTTCATCATCATGTGATGATTTCTCACTTCACAAATTCTGTGGTGAGCTCCCGTCAAGGTTAGTCCACCCATCACACCCACCACATACTCTTCACCTGCAACCATGTTCAGATTTATATTTGAGACTGGGATGCCAAATTTGTAGGAGACATTACAATCCTGGACAACATCTTTACAAATGTTATCAATGTCATTTCTCCATTTGTGTAAGGTGTGGCATGGAAGTAGGAAAAAATGTGATCCATCATCCATGCCACCCTCACTCACTCATGTGCACCATCACTGAACCCATTTTGTGCTGCTGCAAGGCTTGTGGGAAAAGACATGAAGGGATCTTCTATCAATGTACCATTTGTACTAACTTCACCATACACACTGAATGTGCTTTCCTACCAGAAAAATTGCTAATCCAAGAGAAAACAGATGGTGCTTTTCATCATACTCATCCCCTCACCATTTCATATTCCTTCCCCTTTATAGATCAACAAGCTAAACATCGTCCTAGATGCAGAGTATGTGGTGGTGGTTTTTTTGGTACGGAGGATCTTTGGATTTACAAATGCGATAAATGTATGTATTATGCCCATCTGGATTACGCAACATCAAGAAGAGAGCCATTCATGTCCATCTTCTTGTCTGCTGGTAATTTATTAATCTTTTCTTTTCATCATCATTCACTAGTATTGTTGTTACAAATTTCATGACCGATATTTTAATAAGTGTTATTTGAGATATACCAACTGACCAACCTCCCTCGTTATTCCATTTTCAATTAATTTATCAGGTGCTGGCAGAACCAACAAAAACTATAAAGATGTTGACCATCCTGGTCTTCTTCATCTCCCATTCCCTGATGACTCTTACAGCCTACCAAAACACAACTTGTTTTTCCAACAAACCACTAATGATGATGATGATCATCATCATCATAAGATTAAGGTAGATGATCGCCTATCACACAAGAGTCATCAACACCCTCTCATTCTGGTTGATCATGGGCAAACCTCCTCCTCTTCCTCAAATTCTTTGTTATTAATAAAGTGTCATGACCCAATGAAAAAGACCCAACTGATATGCAATGGATGTCTCAGACCAATCATGTCCACCATGCCTTTTTACATTTGTGCTAATGCTAATTCTAATGCTAATGATGATGAGATTCAGATTCAGAGTCAGGGGGTTTGCAATAACTTTGCTCTTCATGAGTGGTGCACTCGACTCCCCCAAGAAATAGAAAACCACCCCGGCCACCCCCAACATACCCTCCATCTCATCTACTCAAACAATCTTCATTTCTTTTTCGGTGTGTTCCATTGTGCTGTTTGTCGTTTGCCTTGCAATGGATTTGTGTATGGTTGTGTCGAATGTGAATACTATCTTGATGTTACCTGTGGGCTTATACCTAAACAAATCACACATGAAACTCACCCCAGTCACATTCTTTCACTAGTTCGAGGAAAACCTTGGGTTAATTGCCATATGTGTCCCAACAATCTACCTGTTGCAGGTCAATTTTCATTCCGTTGTGACACGTGTGATATTTATATACATCTAGAATGTGCTTTGTTATTAGTCGAGACAGTCAGGCACAAGTGTGACAAACATCCAATGCATCTAAGTTACCTCCCAATTGAGAACCACAAGAGTGAATACTTTTGTGAAATCTGTGAGGAGGATTTGAATCCTCATCAATCTTTCTATCATTGTCAAGATTATGCTCAGTCCGTACATACCGCTTGTGCTCCGTCAATACTTGAGTGTGAGACAGAGACCTATACCAATCACAATGGCCCGTGGATATATCAGGGAGGAGTTCATTATTTCGTGAACATAAAGTTTGGAGGCATTTATAGGACTCAACGTCACTCACACCCTCTCTCCTTTGCTCAAGGTATTGTGTTGGATGACCTATGTAGTATATGTAATCAGGAATTACAATATGAAATGATATTTAAATGTCTCGAGTGTAACTTTGTGATTGATTACTACTGTTGCAAGTGAGCGTTTGAACAAGATATGAAGCTTCTGGCTTCTCTTCCACAAGCATGGATGCTTTGAAAACACAATATGATATGTAACTGTCATTACTCTTTCTTTCTTTCTTGTAAATCTCCTTTTATGTGTAAGATGATGATACAATAAATAATTTGAATTAAACGTCTACATAATAATTCTTTGGGTTGTTATTAAAGTGTCATGACCCAATGAAAAATACCCAACTGTTATGCAATGGATGTCTCAGACCAATCATGTCCACCATGCCTTTTTACATTTGTGCTAATGCTAATGCTAATGCTAATGCTAATGATGATGAGATTCAGATTCACATTCAGGGGGGTTGCAATAACTTTGCTCTGCATGAGTGGTGCACTCGACTCCCCCCAAAAATAGAAAACCACCCGGCCCATCCACAACATAATCTTCTTCTTATCTGCTCAAACATCCCTGGTTGCTTTTTCGATGTGTTCGATTGTGCTGTTTGTTATCTGCCTTGCAACCGATTTGCATATTGTTGTGTAGAATGTGGATATTATGTTGATGTTACATGTGGCTTTATACCAAAAGAAATCACACATAAATCTCACCCCAATCACCTTCTTTCACGGGTTCAAGTAGAAGAAGATAATGATACTTCTTGTCATATGTGTCTCACACACTCTTATAAGTCTGACTTTTTTTTTCCGTTGCTACATGTGTGATATTTATATACATCCAGAATGTGCTTTGTTATTACCCGAGACAATCAGGCACAAGTATGACAAAAATCATCTCATGCACCTAAGCTACCTCCCGATTGAGAACCATAAGAGTGAATACTTTTGTGAAATTTGTGAGGAGGATTTGAATCCTCATCAATCTTTCTATCATTGTCAAGATTGTGCTCAATCCATACATACCACTTGTGCTCCGTCAATACTTCAATGTGAGACCGAGACCTATACCATGTTGGTATATCAGGGAGGAGTTCATTATTTCATGAATATAAAGTTTGGAGGCATTCATAGGACTCAATGTCACCCACACCCTCTCTCCTTTGCTCAAGATATTATGTTGGATGGCCAATGTAGTATATGTAATCTGGAATTACAATATAAAATGATATTTAAATGTCTGAGTGTAGATTTGCAATCGATTATGAGTGTTGTCAGCATTTGAACAAGATATGAAGCTTCTGGTTTCTCTTCTACACAATATGACGTGTAATTGTCATTACTCTTGCTTTCTTGTACATCTCTTTGTATAGTGTAAGATGATGATACAATAAATATAAATAATTTGAATTAAACTCTTGCAATACTCTTTACTCATCCTAGCAACTCAAAGATCTATTTATTTATAACTTAATAACACTAGTTTATCATTGATATTCTTTATTCTTATCGTTTTTATTTTTTAAATTGAAATCAAATACATTTACAAATTAGATTATACGCTTTATATTTTTAGTGGACAAAAACCTACAAAACACATCTTAATGTGTGTTGTAAGACCCTCCACATCAGGGCTTGCAAATATCATTGCAATGCCACTTCACCAATTTCAAGTGCCATATAGGATTGGGTCTTTCACTTTAGGGAAGTGTTTTAAGTTTATAAATCATAAACATAGATTGAACAATTTCTGTCTATGTGAAAATCATAAAATAGCTAAAATGGAACCAAACAATTTTATTTTATTTTTTAAAAAGGAAATAGTTAATTTGGTCCTCATTTTTGTAACAAGTTATGCAATACAACTCTTTGTTGAACATAATTCAAACTTCAAAGTATTTGTGTATGGCTTTGATGGAATGAATGAAGAGTCATGCTAGTATAATAATAGCAATTATGAAGTAGATTCAATTTGTCATTATCTTACTTAAATGAACTTATATCATTTTAAGTCAAAATGAAACAATACATTCTCTAATAAAAAACACATGGTCTAGGCCTATACAGGTGAAAAGGAATTGGTGTATGTTCAGCATGATAAACTTGGTATAACAATAGAAGTAGCTAAAATGTACCAGTTCTATGATAAGAGACAACATCAACCATCAAACCATCAACATTGGTGTCTTTTCAGTTGGACACCATACAGAATGTAAACCTGTAGATTAATGAACATGTTAGATATACAATACTCGGTTATGAGTTTTCAAGAATTGCAAACCTGTACTGAATCACCTTTGAGATATACAATGGCTTCATGCAACATCAAAGCCTTATTCACCTGTCAATCAAAACCACAAACCCTACATAAACACAAGTATAAAATCAATCAAGAACAAAAAAATGATGTTGAATATTAACCTTCTTGAGGGGTCCTTTACTACATAACCCCAAAAGTAACCACATAACTGTAGAAGGTATCAACTACTCCGGATCCTGTTTGATTTTATAGGTTGATTTAGCAATGTGGATAGTCGGGACTAAATCAACCTACAAAATTCGATCTCTGATCCTATCTCCAACTTGAGTTCAGTATATTTACCCTGTGTTCTTTTGAGTTTTGTCAATTGTCAAACCGTGAAGTGTAAACCCTAGAAAGTTTACTCCTACCTTCAGCCACTCAAAGAAAACCAATCGCACCCTGAAAAATCAAGGTTCGGTTTACCTATACACAACAGAGCGCCGAGCTTGAATCCTTGAACAGAAGTCGAAATTGAATTGAAACCACTCAAGAAGAATCAAGGTTCAGTTTTAATGCTTCAACACAATCGTCTTTCTTTTCTTTGAATGCTTATAATGTATCTGATTGCAAATGCTCATCTTAAAATTAGATTCCATTTGATTATTGCAATGGCCATCTTTAAATAGAAACGACTTTCTTTTCTTTAGTTGATTATAATAATCTCGATTGATTGCAAATGGAGTGTGCAAGGTAAGGTGTAAGGATTACATTTGAATGTTTAGGTATGATTTGTTAACAACCGTAATAATATTCTTTTGTTTTCTATAAAAACAAATTTTTTAACGGTTTGCTAGGAAACTAATATAACTATATCATACATACTTATAAAACTAGCATTTTTTCTTGAATCTCATGCATTTGAAACCCCATTTTTTAACTTCCTCAAACCACATTCATTTGAAACCTCATTTTTTAACTAATGCAACTCAAAAGTTTTTTTAATTATGATTTAACACTCAAAAGTTTTATAACTTATATTATGTTTAATTAGTATTTAGTGAAAAGTTTACTATAAAAAAGCCAATCTTTTGGGAAGACATGCATACAAATCATATACAAATTTTAGAAAGAAAACAAACTTAAAGGTTTTTGTGTTGGGTTGAGGTCTTATGGCCACTTTTGGAGATATGTTATTATATTAGAGCTTTTAATTTGTAAGTTTGTTATACTAATTCGTTTTTATATTTTCTTCGTTTTTGGATTATTGTAATACAGTCGTTGTATATTGTGGTTTAATCGTTAATATATTGATCATATGTTATATAGGGTGATGTCGAAAATTTTTAATTAAATATTTTAAATTTGTTTTTTTTTGTTTTGTAATTGTACCGTTTCAAAAAGATAATTAATTAAAATTCATACATATGTTATACTTTCCATCTCTCTCTCTCTGTATGTATATATATATATATATATATATATATATATATATATATATATATATATATATATATATATATATATATATATATATTATAATAGAGGTCAAAACACTTCACCAAAATTTATTTAAAATCTAATATTTCAAATGCTTTTTAATAATGATTGTAAAAATTTCAAGATGTGTTACTTAATTGATTGTTTAATAAAAATATTAATGTTTTGAAACTCCTAACTCTTAAACTTATATTATTTAATTTGTTAGTTAACTAAAATATTTTTCCTACATAAAGATAACATTTTTATGTTTGGTTACTCATATTTGTTTATGTAATTAGAGAATAAGGTATACATAGAATGAGTACTTCAATTTCACATAGGAATCGATACCACTAGAGATGTATGTTGTCTTTAACCGGTGGTAGGAGTTCCACATACTCTTTTTAATTATTTATATAAATGATTAGTAATATCTATTTTATATTCCTATTCACCTTCATTTTTTAGGTACAAATTAAGGAAGAGGATTCTCGGCGCACCAACATAAAGTCAAACGTATGTCTTGCAAAATATGTAATTAAAATTAAATATTATATTTACTAATCGACTTATTTTAAAACTCTTGATGACATTTATGTATAAAGATATATTTTGTATTACTTCATTCTTGATTTCAATGTTTAATATTTGAAAGTTCATATATGAAACCTTGGATGTTTTGGTGTAATATAAATAGTGTAATACAAAGTTTATTAGTTCAATATTGTTTATTAATAGCTCATTCAAAACAACTTATTTCTTATTTTATCCAAAAAATATTATTGGACATACGAAAAGTAGATTATATTAATGTTATACAAAAATTTATAATATATATTGGATATTATAAAAGTAAAAGTAAAGTTTATAAGGTATGGACTATATTAGATAGTATCGAAATATAAGTTGATGAATTTTTATGTTATTTGATAATTCGGTTAATGCCCAAAACATGACTAAAAACGTAAATTTACATATATTTCTATTTTTTCCCATAATTATTTTAACCACTTAAATGTATTCTTGCGCAACGTGCGAGGTTACGCCTAGTTTGATATATTCTACAACGTTCCAATTGTGTTTTCTACTATTTCTGCTTGCTTGCATATTTTCTGAGACCTTAATTGCCACAACTTTCTTAACATCTTAATTAAGTTATACAAATCATTTGTAATTTGATGTACACCTTCCTATATATATTTTGTTTACTGATAAGAGGAAAATTACCCCATATTAGATCTTTCAACAGTGAACTCCACCAATTGACTTTGGGTTCAATTAAGCCATGTGAATCAACTCTAACCTCTATACCAAATTCACACAACAAAATTAGGACTTATTCCTTACTTATTAGAGAGGTGGTACTAAAGATAAGGAAAAGGAAAAACAATGTCAACATTACAGTATCA